GCATATGATTAAACCAAGACGAAAGTGTCATCAGTGGGTGGCTTCTTTCCTCTAATGTATGTATATCACCCTATTGTTTGTTTCCCTTATCGCACATATACTTATTATGTCTAAGATATAGATTGTATATTTTCTTCTAAAAATAAAAAAATAAAAAATATAAAAAATATATAGTTCATACAGTGTTGGGGATGTTACTTTTTTTTTGTAGTTAAATTACACCACGAATAACCTTTCAAAATTGTAACTCAGTTATTTTAAAGTTATTTTTTGTATTTTGTCAAGCTGTACCTATTATTTTTGAGATAGAAATCATTAAGTAACTGCATTCCAAATGACAAATAATATTACTTTTTATTTTCAAATAAATGATTATGTCAATAGGTAGGTATATTAACTACCTATAACTTATAAGTAATGAATAGGTAATTAAAATTAAGGGGGCTGCAGCCGGTACCAATAATCACGTAAAACAGGCCAAAAGCTAGACAAAACTGTAGGACTTGGGTTGGACGGATTTTAATTTTGAAAACTAATTGAAAATCTTTAACAACTCTACTAAAGCATGGTCGTGAAAATGTATCATTATAACAAAAATTAATGCCGTACTTAAATATATAAAATACCAAAATTCTTATTTTGTAAATTGTTGACATCTTATCGAATAATTTGAATAAATAAAATCCCCTCGATCATTCCCTAACTAACACAATGACTAATTAATATATTTTTTCTAAATTAAAATCTGTCGTACCCAAGTCCCACAGTTTTGTCTAGCTTTTTGGCATTTTTGTCATTTGAATAGCATGAGTATATTTGATAAAATCTGTATAGTTGACATGTGCCTGCGCGTGCGAAAATTCACGGCGGCGGTCCTAATTGAAAATAAACTGCCAACATTCGATTCCTGGAATATAATATTACAAGATAAGAAAACGATTGCCGGCGGTGTGCTTAATTCTAATAAATATTATATTATTGTAATAATAATAAATATATATATCGCCCTGCGTACTTGTTTTGGTCCCCTGCCGGTACGTAATATTATTAAACGGCAAGCACAAATCATATTCTTATTTTGATTTTCGATTAGTCTGGTTAGGTAATAGTATAATGTGCAGTATCTAAAGAGAGAATTTTTATATAAAGTATTTACATATTTTTCATTTTTGGTGCTATGGACAGTAAAAGTGACTGGCATTATGGAAAAAAAACTAAGACTCTTTTATCCAAGAGAAAGAAAAATAAAGGTAACATTAATGCCCTGAATGGTTTAAAAAAAGTAAGTATTAATATTACAAATCTATTAATTACCTTAATAACGTCTTATCTTATTACCTTTTTAATTATTAATATTTATTCAATTTGTATTTTACTTGAAGTTTTAAAAATGTTTAGTATTTATAGTTTATACCTATGTCAGCAAGAAATCTATTAGCTCATCGTTCCTCAAGTTTGATTTATAATGTAAACAATAATTCGGTCGAAGGTTATAATAGCGTTGTTGCTAAATATGTAGGTGGAAAGAGAATAAACTTTTCTCATAAAGGGTCATATCAAGCGAGGTATACCGCGGCAGTGTTGTCATATAATGCAGGGGCAACATCTTTAAGTGTTTTACACAAAAAAATTTGCAATAAAAGTCCTGGTGTTTTTACCAAACGTTTTATAAATAGAAAACAGACGACGAAAATATGTAAAACAAACAGAAAACTTACATATGAACCAAGTAGTAGACGAGTTACCAAAGTTAGCTTACCTGCAGATAAAGACTATGGCAATTGTGAAGAAGATATTTGTAAAGAATTGGATATGGATGAAAATGATTACGAAAAACTTAAATTAGAATTTATAACGAATAAAATTATAAAAAATAGTAATGAAATCAAATTAATTGAAGAATCGACTAAACTTCAATCAGAATGTGAATTATGGCATAAAGAAAGACGAATTCGTTTAACCGCGTCAAACTTTGGAACCATTTGTAAACTTCGACCGGCGACGTCTAGAGCTAATACAATTAAGTCAATGTTGTATAAAACATTTTGCGGAAATGAGCATACAAGATATGGTATTGAGTGCGAACCATTTGCGAAGACAGAGTTTCAAAAACTAACAGGGCTTAAAATTCAAGAATCTGGCCTTTTCATTTATGAACAACTACCGTTTTTAGCAGCCAGTCCGGATGGACTATTAGATGATAACGGTATAGTTGAAATAAAATGTCCATCTACAATTAAACAATTAACTCCAAAAGAAGCTATAGAAACTGGAAAATTAAAATTTGCAACTGTTGACAATCAAGGAAATCTACAGTTAAAAAAAAGTGACAAATACTATTTTCAAGTTATGGGTCAATTACAAATAACTAAAAGATTGTTTTGTTATTTTATAATATGGTCACCTAAAGGTAATTATAATGTTTAAATTACAAATAAATATTGGTAATACTAATAACTATCGTAAATTGATTTCCACGTACGTATGTTTACAGGTATATTATACCAAAAAATTTTAAGAGATGATGATTTTTTCGAAACCAAAATGAAAACATTGCTAGAAAATTTTTATTTCCAAGCGATGTTGCCCGAGTTAATAGACTCAAGAGCTGATAGAAACCGTCGTTTACGTGACTAACCTTTATAGTTAGGTACGCTTAAGTTTTTTACTGAAGAAGTTTGTAAATAAACTATAAAAACATAATAATTTGACATTTTGACTTAATATTCATATTATATGGATCGCATTATTTTTTTCTCCAAGATATCTAACTTACAATACTATATACATTTATGTGAGTGAAATAACGCCGAGTTCTAATTATACATGTGTATATATTTTAATAAATTATTATAGCATAAATACATAATATTAATATGTATAAATAGCAGTACGTAAGTAGTAAGTACCAAGTTGTAATGGTTCATCCTCTCTAGCACTCACTTTCCTCACCTTTTTTATAATATACATGTGTTTCGGTGTATGCGATTGATTGTGTTATTCCTTTTACGTAAAAAAAGTGATTATGTAATTAATGAGTAAAAAAATTGTGTATACAAAAATAGGTTTAGTTATTATAATATAGAATACTAAAATAACCTACTTTTGACAACAATATATTTTATGACCCACATAATTAGTCGTTTACGTTTAATTGTTTACGATGTTTGATGTCGACGGCGGGTCGATTCCTGGTAATATTGAGAGAGATTAGTCTTACACACACTAAGGTTCGTTTACATTGCACACACTTACAAGTCAGTTTAATGCTATCATGTTAAATTGCCTATATTAATTTCCTTAAAACACGATCGACTGCAGCCCCCTTAACAATTATACTTAAAATAAAATTGTAATGGGATTACGTAATTTCATGTACTTGCTCATAAAAATAACCAGGAATGTGAAAGGCAAGCAATGACCACACCCAAAGTGTTTACGACTAGAATACCACTCTTATTCGTGATGTCCATATCATATCAAGGGCGACTGTACACACGCCGCTCACTTTCAAAGGACATCGCCACCATCTATATAGGGGACAGCGAGACAGCCTGAGCAGATTGTATCCAGAGACGTAAACAACGTACGACTCGCTTAGCCGCCAGCCATCACACACAATTACACGAAGATTATCATTCTAGAACGAGCTGCAATTCACTCAACTACACAATTATCACGACTGTTCTGCTTATTTTATTTGGTTTTAATAAAATACATTTGATTACTATTTTAATTTGACTATTGTTTATTATAAAAGCATATCAGCTTTTGGATCCCTGAAGGCCTGTACGTAACAAAATAAATATATAGTATATACATTAAAATTATTCAAAAAGTTATTATTTACAATAACTTGTAACATGTCAAGTTACTCCTCAACACTGATTTTAAATTATAAAATTAAAATAAATATATTTTGTAATATAGGTATATGGCAACTGGCGAGTCATTCCGTTCGTTGTCATTTGGCTTCCGTATTAGTCATAGCTACATTAGTCTAATAATAAAGGAAACATTATCTGTTTTAAGAACTAAATTAGTCCCCATATTTTTGCCGGACGCTAATACAATTGATTTTAAAGTGAAAGCGGCCGAATTCAGTTATAAATGGAATTATCCGAATTGTATTTTGGCTATTGATGGTAAACATGTCTGGATACGCAGTCCAATTAACTCGGGATCTCTTTTCCATAATTACAAGGATTATTTTTCGACAGTATTGCTCGCTATGGTCGACGCAAATTACAAATTTATCGTTGTTGATATAGGATCGTATGGCAAAGAGGGTGACAGCGGGATTTTTTTTAAATCCGAATTGGGAAAACAAATTCTTGGAGGAATATTTAGATTTCCCGAAGATAGTGCTCTTCCTGGGTCCAATATCATTGTACCTCATGTGATTGTCGGTGACGAGGTATTTAGACTACACAACACATAATGAAACCATTTTCAAGGAAGGCAAGCAGAGAAGACGATTCTAAAAAAAAATTTAATTATAGACTAAGCCGTGATAGGCGAGTCACAGAAAATGCTTTCGGTTTGCTCAGTCAAATATTTAGAGTTTTTTACCAGCCTATGAATATAAATATAACGACATGTGATGATTTAATTTTGGTTGCATGTTGTTTGCATAATATGTTGAGGGATGCTTACATGGAAAACAATAAACGACCATTTTATGAGCTAGATTCTGAACAAACAGAACCCACCAATAATATGCTGTCAATGACAAGAGGAGGCGGATTCTACAATATTGAGGGATTTGAAGTAAGAGACCGTTTTAAACATTTTTTCAATAATGAAGGGTCCGTATCCTGGCAATAAAGAATTATTATGAGAGTTTTGCATTATGTATAAATTTCAACCTATATGTAATTATTAATAATCATGTAAACAATTATAAAAATAAGTTGTTATAAAATATTAATATATAATGAATTATACTGCATTGTCTTTTCTTTTTATATCTATTTTATTTTCGTAAATTATACATGTTTGAATCTTTTAAATGTAAGTATGATAAATATAAACAATAAAAATAAAATTGGAATAAATTCTTATTCTTATTTAAAAATTATAAAATACATTAAAAGTAATTACTATTTGAAATAAAAAAAAAAATATTAAGATTACTTAATTCATTATTTTGTTCCTTCAAAATATTATAAAAAAAACTTGCATACTTACTTCATGAATCTAATATAAAAATTAATAACAAAATATACCTAGTATAATATATTATGTTCATAAACCTATTTTATTGCTCACCATGATTATTATTGTAGTTTCCAAATTCAGAATAATCTGATGACATGGGATATAGTACTGCAGAATCTGATACCGACTGCAGACTGGAAAGCTGGTAGTAATTTGTTTGGTCAGGAACAACAGATGTTATACGTGGTTGTTCAGGAGCTGAATATTTTTCTTGGATTTCTGTTACTAAAGCCAATGATTTAATTTTAACCTCGTTTATACCCATATTAGGCAATTTTTTTACTGTAATTGCCAAACTTTTGAAAAAAAAACCAACATCATCTACCTCGGTTTTATGGTAATTTAAAATTTTTTCAATTTGTTTTTTAATGGTTTCTATAATTGTGTTTCGATCTTTTGCTCTCTTTGCTAATAACACGTTTAATTTGTCTGTTTTCGATCGTACACGTTTTCCGGCGTATGAACACCCAGGCGACAAGGGAGACTCTTCGTCACTAAACTCATTAACTCCATCGTCTATGTCAGCTTCAATAGAACAATCTGCAGCTTCTAAATCACTTTGCTGGGTACTTAAATTGGAAGAAGAGCTAACCTAATAATTTATATTTTATAATATATAAAATAAAACTAAAAAGATTAAAAATTGCAAATACTTATAAATACTAGTATATTGCACATGTTATTTTCACACGGTGGGTCAAAATTGGACACTTGACCTTTATGTCGTAGACGAACCGCTATCGATAACATTCTTATACATATACACTTAATGAAACTATAAAATATTGTTTTTCGTAATAATATAAAATATAATATAATAATAGGTCCTTATAATTGTATACCAAAATAATATATGTAGCAACACAAAATTATGAGCAAAATAATCAGTTGCCAGTTAAAAATAACGTGAAATTAATTAATTTCTGTTTTATTATGGGACAAATATTGAAATATATTATACATTATTTGATAATTTTATATCCTATATTGACGATATATTATGATACCTTATTAAAACTATTTATATAAATTATTAAATATCCAGAAAATAATAATATTCCAGAAATGTAATTTGTCAACAGCACTAATAATTTACCTTGTTTAAATATTGTGGTAATTTCTACTCGAAAACTTACTGGATTTTCCTACTTTTCCTGCAATATTTTTCTATCTCTCGTCTTTATATATAATGTCTTTATGTTTGAGATCTTGACTGTTATAAAGAACAGTATTCTGGCGCACTTCTTCAATTAAAACTTCATCATTTTCTGGTGAAAATATATTCGACATTTTGAACCTATGATAATAATCGCCGGTGACTGTCGCGAAACACTGCTCTTGTCGTAGTACAGTCGCCGGTCGCCGCGCCTCATGCTAAGTCGCAGTCGCGCTTTGGAAACCAGTCAGTGCAAGTCACGTATAATCAGTGTGGCCACGACTAGCCGCCGCGACCGGTCGCGCCTTGGAAACCGTACCTTTACAATTGTACCATTCCCTAACATAATTGCTGTGTCTATAAATTAGGAGTAGCACATATGTAATAACTGAAAATATTTATAAATTAATGTAGTAATTACTATACTCTTTTTCACGAGAGAAAGGTAGCGGCGGCCGACCAAAACGGGTCCGCCGCCGCGCGACCCCCACTAACTATCAGTGGTAAGCGTGATCACGTGGTCGTTCATGCACCAATCGAATCATTTTACATGCGCGAAACGGTACCGTTCTCTCGTGAAATAGAGTATAATACAGTTTAGTTTTGAAATCCTAGTATTGGTTCAAATTACAACTTAATATTATGATAATATACAGGTATATATTCAGTATTCACTACTATTCAGGATCTCAGTCCTACTGTTGTACAATTTGTAATGAAGGTGATTTCTCATTTTATTATATTTAAAATTTAAATTGTATATAATATCCAAAAAATATATTATAATGTACATATTAATATACTTATATTGACCTAGTAGTAGTAATAGTACAGTAAACCCGCCTTATAAGACCCTCTATAAGACAGAATATTCTCCTTAGTCCTTATAACGGACCCTCTATAAGACGGAATATTCTCCTTAGTCCTTATAACGGAAAATAACAATAGTCCTAAATAATCTATATCCCGTATATTTTAGTCCCCCTAAAATATTTGTTGGCTAAAATACTTGTCATCCAATCAATTATTTTTCGGCTAAAATACGGGTTGCCTGAAATATTTTCGGATGTTTTACGCACATAACATCCAATCATTGTCAAAAAACGGTGGACATGGCCCCACCTCCCCACCATCTCCCCTGTGGGCGACACAACTCTGGTTTACTAATTGTTGCCTTACACATTGAGCCACACAGTGGCATAGCCAGGATAGGGGGGTAGTATAAATTAAACCCAGTTTTTACAGTTTGCGTATATTAATAATACATTTATTAGAACAATTATCTAAGGTGGTGGGGGGTTAAACACCCACCCCCCCCCCTGGCTACGCCACTGGAGCCACATACCATGTTCGGCTAAAATACGGTTCGGATGAAATATTTTCTGCTTTATTATTTTCGATGACAATATTTTTTGGCTAAGATATGCTTCTGGCATTATGTATATTTTTGGGCCAAAATACTGGTCGGACAAAATATTTTCGGACGTTTTACGCGCTCCATGTTTTGACAGATAACATTCAGTGCATAAACACGATTGACACTGAATGCTCGCGTCGGGGTCAAGGCGTTGGACACGTACTGATCATCTTCAAATTCACGAGTATAATTCGATAATAAAAATATGTGAACATTACGCAGATATTTTTTATTTAGAAGGAGATAATCTTACGTGTGCAGAACACGTAATAAAAATTCCTAAGGATTTGAAACCGATTTATAAAAAACCATACCGTTTACCGTTTTCACAACAACCGGATATAGAAAGACAAATAGGACAAATTATGAAGGATGAAATCATTGAAAGATCAATGAGTCCGTTTAACGCACCACTAATATTAGTCAAAAAGAAGGAAGACGCTACAGGGAAACAGAAATTCAGAATAGTCATCGATTTTGGAGCACTTAATGAAGTAACATTAAATTAATTTCACCCATTACCAAATATAACGGAAATATTAGACCAATTAGGACGATGTCAATTGTTCAGCTTGATCGATTTGAAATAAGGATATTTTCAGGTTCCTTTGGCGAATGAATCAAAGGAGCTTACGGCATTTTCAACGGGGCAAGGGCAATAGCAATATAAACGACTTGTTATGGGTCCAAGTTCAGCTCCGGCGACATTTCAAAAAATGATGACGAACGTATTGTAAGGATTAATAGGAATGAAATGTTTAGTGTACTTGGATGACATAATAGTGTATGCTAAGAATTTACAAGACCACAATGAAAAATTAATTGACGTATTCGAAAGATTAAGTATTCACAATCTAAAAATAGAACCGGACAAATGTAGTTTTTTACAACGGGAATGTTTATTTTTAGGTCATGCAATTAGTGACGAAGGAATCAAACCGGACCAAGCGAAAGTCAAATCTGTAGGGGATTTTCCGGTTCCTAAGAATGTTAAACAAATAAAAAGTTTTTTAGGACTTAGCGGGTATTATAGAAAATTCATAGAAAATTATAGTGCTATAGCTAATCCGATAGTAAAATTATTAAGAAAAGACGTAAAATTTAATTGGGAAGAAAATTATCAAAAAGCGTTCGACAAATTAAAAGAAATATTGTGTTCAGAACCAATTTTACAATATCCAGATTTTACGAAACAATTTATACTTACGACAGACGCTAGCGGAAGGGTGCTAGGTGCAATATTATCTAAGGTTAAAATAGGATCGGATTTACCAATTACAGTTCCAGGACTTTAAATAGGGTGGAATGTAATTATTCGGCAACGGAACTGGAGTGTTTAGCGATTATATTCGGCGTAAAAACATTTCGAGCGTATTTATAGGATAGGAAATTCACAGTTCTTACGGACCATAGGCCTTTGTTATGGCTATTTAATTTAAAAGATCCATTATCCAGATTGGCAAGATGGAGACTACGATTGGGGGAATATGAATATGAGATAGTATACAAAATGGGCAAATTAAACACTAATGTCGACGCGTTATCGCGTATGTATAATATTACGGAAATATAGGACGAAAGTTATGATAATTTTATGCAAAAATTCGAAACAACAGTAATTTCTAATAAGGACGTTAAGGAAGTACACGGCGAACTAATAAACAGTCCGTCGGAGTACCACATAGTATCTGAAATCGAAAAATATTACACCTGTCCCCCGATCCCCACCATCTGAATTGTCCCGTCGTCAACTGTCGTCGCTAGCCGTCGGTCGGCGCCGCTGGGGCTGGGCGAGTCTATCGTGTCCGCCGGTGTGCGCCGGCAGGGCAGTCTGGACTGATATTCCCTCAAATTATTGTATATTCCCCCCAAAAACCTACACTGCTCTGCCCCACTTCACTGGATTTTCAACAACATCGACCGTTACGGCCCACGGAACGCTGCGTCTCCTTACTGCTCCTTGCCTTTTTACCGACCTCTGAAGCAACACGACGTACGTTTGTTTTCACGTCCCAGCTCAACTGTGTCCTGCACTCCGTCAAAAAACCACTTGAACGTGACGACATTTTCAATTTTGTTTTTACCTTGGTGTGTAACCATACGATGATGTGCTAACGTTTCACCAACAAGCTGTGGGGGCCTCAACACCCGAGACAGCATTACCTCGGCTCAACTACGTACAATCGTTCTCCAACGACCAGGTGGATCATGCCGACCGCGTGTGCGTCGGCGGCGTCAAGCCAGCCCACCCGTATCTGATGAGTGCCACAAGATCTACTACTGCTCCACGTAGTAACGTATCAATTGTTTCCCCTTTGTTCCCCCCGTTAGGTATCACCAATTATAAATTGAACTTAATATATCACCTTTAAAAAACGCGCTTAGACTGCGCAGGCCGGTCGCCGACCGCCTTGCTCTGGCGCTGACCGTGCCAGGTGACATCGACCCCAAACAATGTTTAAATTATTAATATGATAATATCCCAATTATGTTTTTTTTTCTCTTTCTCCCTATATTTTATTATATTTGCCATGTGCCACCATATATGTTTTGTGCTTTTGCTATGCGCCACCCTATACTGTTAACTATATTATATATAAAATGACAATGGTGTTCTTAATAAATTATTTATATGTCCATGTAAAATACATCAACCTAATAACTCTAATTTCAATTTGATTATTAGTGATTTATTTTGTCCCCAACATAAATCTTGAGGGTTTCATTACCCCATGCGTGTACAAAACCTGTGAGCTCCACCGACTTGACCCTCGGGTCCCACGCGATGCGGCTCACAGGTCACGTTCGAAGTGTTCCCTTTCGGTCGTGGGTGGTTTTTGATAGTCCACAAAATTATCAAATCCTCACATATGGCGACCGTGCCAAGACCCGTGTCCAAAAATCCCCCTTTGTATCACTAATAAACTTTTTTTTTCTTTATCTTTTTCCCCGTTAAAATGTAAAATATAAATCTCAATAACGCAAATGGCAAAATCTTAATATATAAAACTCAATAAATCAATATGGCAAACACATGGCAATTTTTATCCAACTTCATCTCCAAATCTATAAGTCCCCTGTAATAATTAAATAATTAAAATCAATTTCCTATGTTCCTCCTTATACTTACTCCACAAACCCACAATTTTTTTTTAAAAAACACATGTTTCTTCTTTTCATATCACCCTCTAGCAAGAGGACAAATTAAATTTTTTATTTTATTATATTTAATGTCATATAATGGATAATTGTTATTTCGAAAATGTTACAAGTAGAGCTCGGATGTTAATGACCAAAATTTCATTCAAATATGCATTTAAAAATTTAAAAATATGCAAATATATGCCTTAAAATATATCAAATATACCTATTTTTCAACAAAAATATGCAAAAAAATATACCCAAAAAAGGGGTTATTATTAATTCAAAATAAATTATAAAAAAAAATGCATAGTAGAAAGGAATTACTATAAATATAAATATATAAACTAAAATACATGTTATGTAGGTAAATAATTTAAATATTAAGATTACACTGTATAACAATGATTTTGGATATATTTTCAAATTTGAAAGATCTTCGACGATCCGACAGTATGTTTTTGTAAGCTGAAAATGAACGATCTACGACTACAGAGTTGGCCAGTGCGTACTTAAAGTTAACAATGTCGATAGTTTCTATAGCTTCAGGAAGTCCATCAAACGAATCTGTTTTGCCATCTATTATTTTAGAAATTTTGGATAATACTTTATAAAACTTTAATTTTTGAAATTTTGTGTATGTTGATTTACCTTGAGGAGATGAAGCTGCAATTGATAATTTTTCCGAAACGACGTTTACTATGGCAAATGAACTTGATAGAGATTTCCCCTTTTCTTCGAGAGATATTAGAGCCGAAGATAAGAATGAAAAATTTGGTTTAATAAAAGCTAAATTGGCTTCAACTCTACGTTCACTCATAACTTCTTGAGCTGTTTTTATAGACAAGCATCATCGGCATCAAATTTTTCTATATTTTTTTTAATTGTTTTATATGAGTCGCAGTAATAAATAGCCGCATTCAACCACGTCCCCCAACGTGTAATCACTGGTTCTGGGGGCGAACTTAGTTCTGGTGCTTCGTCTTTAAATATGTTTATTCTTGCTGGACATTTAAGAAAGACTTTTTTGACAGAAGAAATAAGTTTGTCAACCAACGGAAAATCACTGCGGATTTGCTCAGCTACACGATGTAAAGCATGAGCGAGACAAGTTACATGAAGCATTTTTGGGAAAAATGTTTGAATCGCTGATCCGGCCTTCACCATGTATGGTGCGGCGTCACTAACTAACAATAAAACATTATTGTGTTCTACTCCTTGAGGCCAAATTAAATTCATAGATCTATCAAAGAGTTGAGCTATTGTTGTACTATTTGTTTTTTCTAAATATTCACAATTAACAAGCATGACTTCACCAGGCATTTCAGAATCAAGTACGCCCACAATAACATTGGCTACATAGCGGCCATCTACATCCGTGGCCTCATCGATTGATGCCCAAATTTTACGATTAAAGACTTCGGCCTGTATTTTAGTTAATGTTTTTTTATAAATATCATCTACATAATTTTTCCTTAAGGTCGATTCGTCGGGGATATTTTTAGAAGTATAATTCTCTAAAAACTCTTTGAATTTAAAATTATTTACCTTGTACAGTGGAATATTAGCTGATAGTAATGCTTCAGCAAGATCGGAATTAAAATCACTTTTCTTGTTTGTATTTTGTGTAAATAACGGTTGAACTGTACTTTGTTCGCGTCTTTTTCGGAGATTTACTGCATGCTCATGCTTTGCAGTTTGCAGTTTTCAAGTGTTTTGTTACTAAAAATCGTTTACTTGCAGATACTTTAATTTCACACAATTTGCAAAATAATATTTTACCATCAGAACTAAATACATGTTCCCCAAATTCTTTTACAAAACTACTTAAACTTGACGAACATTTCGGCATTTTGTAAATAATAATTTAAAAAAAAAAAAAACATGTATCAGAAAAATTGTATAGTTGAATAAACACAACTACAAAACATATGAGGACTGCAGCAAACTGAAAATATTTAATGTAAACAAAATATAAACTCGTCGAAAATGTAGATTAAACCCACCCAAGCAGTCAATCTATACTGTTATACAATATACTTACCTATACCTAGGCTATAATATTAATCTATTAACGATATGCGATAAGATAATGGTCGTCGACAGGCGATTACGAGATTCGTGTATACATAGTGATATAAAATAATTAATAAATATGTGTGTATGATATAAATTTAATATGCCATTAAATCTATAAATTATCAATATATGCATTTATATGCTCAAAAATGTCAAATATGCAAAAAAAAGTTGCATATTTGTAATATAGACTTCATGAATCAAATTTGTATCCCCACTCCGGTGTAATTCTAGCTGCGCGAAAAAAATATACCAAGTCATAAACATCCGAGCTCTAGTTACAAGATATGTTTATTACAAAAAACATAATCAATTAAAATCACTTAACTTGACACGGTACGCAACGGCAACCAGTACAAAGTACAGGTCATAGACAAGTATATAAAATAGATAAGCCACTCCTGTGTTAAATTGTTGGACCGCCATAACTGCTCCCGGTGGTTGTATAATACACTAAGACAGCGTGATCATCGATAGTTACCATTATCGATAGCTAAAACTATCGATAGTTAATAATATCGATAACTTAAAGTAATATAATAGCTTTTGCTTTAGTATTATAATAAAAAAAAAAAAAACAATTAAATTAAAAATGAAATTTCATAAAATATCTTTATTTTAAAAAAACAACAAAAGAATTATAAACGACAACTTAAAATTATAATTTAAACAAAAGTTAATAAATATTATATAAAAAACACTACATTGTATAGTACATTAACTGAAAATATGATGAGAATAAATGGTAATATACAAAATGTACAACAGTCAACAAAATATAATTTAAATAATAACAATAAAATATGTATAAATTACAAATCTTATATTTTTATCTACATGATAAAAATGTATTATATTTATTAATAAGCAATAAAAAAAAACATTTTATTTTACATATTTTTATATATACACATGTATGTTATATATATGACTAAAAAAAATTATTAATTTGGTTTTTATAAAATTATAATAATTTTGTCCAACATAATAATAATATTAAAACAAAAAGTGTCCAAGTACCAACTCAGTCAATAATTTAAAAAATAATATTTATGGTAATAGGTTATATTTACCTTGAACAATTTTTTTTTTTGAGTGTTTTAAATACCATGTGTTTGCAAATAAATATATAGGGTCATTTTCATTTAGTCGTATCTTGCGTTTTCCCGTTAGAATTCTATTGACTTCTGTACACCAATGATTAATTATTAACTCTACAATACACTTAATTATTTTTGTACAGAAATCTGTTTCATGTTTAGAACAATGAAGAATATTAACATTGAACTTAGTTAATATGTCTGTGATTAGTGCTTGTCTCAATTGTGAGTGATGACATATTGAAGGCAACATTTTGCTTGTGTACGAAATTATGTCTAGAACTAGATATTTGAATGCAGTAGTTGGGTACTTCAAAGATGGTCTTGATGACTGATATTCTCTAGCATCAATTAATGCATGTTCATCAAGAGCATTATCACTACACAGCTGTTGTAAACAAGTTTTACAATTTTTAAAAACCCATTTATTTAATTTTCTGATTATATATCCAGCGATGTAGGTATGCGTTAAATCTCTTAAATCTTCAGTAGTCTTCGTAGATTCAGCTACTTGTTTTTCTGGGAAGGCAAATTATGTGGAAGTTGGCTTAGGATATTCTTCTTGTTGAAATGAAAATAAATGTTTATAACTCATCAGACTGTCTTCATTGAAATCTTCGCAGTTTGCTCCCAGAGAATGCGAGGACACCAAATTGTTGAGAAGTAAAGTTTTATACGATGAAATGAATATACTGCAAGTTGGTTTTGAACACCCAACACTTCTTATAGCACCAAAGAAACATTCCAATGAATCTTGATTCAGATGTCTTGGGAGTAATGATTTTATTCCTTTATTCCAAAGAATTTTCGACAGTGTTTGAAAACCTAAAAAATAAAAATTAATAATTGCATTTCTAACTATTTTAAATCAAATGTTTATAAATTATTTACCTCTTATTGTTGTTGACCAATTTTTAAGTGTTGGTACTCTAACTGCTTTTCCATTCTTTCCAACAAATTGCATTGTTGATAATATTTTCAAACTATCTTGCCAAAGTTTATGATGAAAGGAATTTTGTTTCACAGATGTTCTATATATTTTGCCGTCAACTTGTTAATCGAATGAGCCATTTAAGGAATCGAACAGCTTATCAAAAAATAAAAAGGCAGCTGCTGTGTCAGAAGCTTTTGGGTCAATGATATTTTTAGCTAGAAATAAAAAAGTAATTAATTTCTGATATTTGAATAATAGTTAAGATGGAATCTTACAAGCAAGAAAGTTCATAACTGCAGATACCCGCTGACTGAACACTTGTGTGGCATTTCGAACCTTCATTTTTGGTACCTTTTCCGGTATAACATGGTTGTCAGTCAAACGATGAAGCACTTTACAGTCCGCTATGAGACTGTCAGTATCATACAATTGTCTTAAATGATCCCATTTAGCAATTCGTTTGACCCCATCAGAAGAGAAGCATAAATCTTTGGTCATTAAGTTATTTCTTGTACATTTTAAAAGATGGGGTACATCAAACAAATGTACAATAGGAATGCGTTCTACACCATCGTCAGATTTAACTTCAATTTCATAAATGTCATCCCGGTAATCTTTTTGATGTTTTACATAATATGATTTAGTTTCATTTTTCAAAATATTTATAGCACCTTCATTTGCACATCCTTGATCACATATTGTGGCAACTACACATAAACCAGTTGCTTGGACTTGACAAATTACCTATTGAAAACAATTATAGTGTATATTATATAATGAATATCATTTGAAATTCAAGATGGTATCATTACTTCTCTCAATTGCTGCACAAGATCATGTTGTTTGGTAGCTCCTTGGCAAAATGTATAGGATACTGGCTGCTTAAATTTTTTTTTAATTAAACGAACCATAAATACAAGAGCGTGATCAGCAAGCAGTTGACTCTTATTATCTCCAGAATCAACAAAACCATCAATAACATCAGTGGTCGAATTAAATTGCAGTCCACCATTTAAGCACACTTCATCAAATATAATTGAACAAAATCTACATAATAAGCAAACAAAAAATAATATAAATGAAATATTTGAATTATTTGTGTATATATATTTACCGCTCAATTGGTTTCAATTTCTTTACATTTTCTTTGAGTACACTCATCACAAGAGGGGAAATTCCAGGCCGAATAGATACCGTTGATAAAATTGTGTTGAGTGTCCTTTTACTAGGCAAAGTAAAAAGTTTTGATAACATCCCATAGCATTTAGGACTCCTTTTATACAATGATAGGCTTAACATTTTTTCATCAATACTAAATCTTCGTCTACGACTTGCCTTATTTGTCTCTCTAACCTGCAGTTTCATAAACAATGAAGTGGCTGCATTTATTTTATTTGAAGATTTATCGGTCAAATAATTATCATTAAGTGTTTCTGCTGCTTTCAGTCTGTCTTTAAAAAGACATTTTTGGCTGTTGGCACGCCTACATTTTTTTAACAAAATATTTGTTGCGTTATACAGTTTCAAACATTTTGGAGTAAGTTGCCTTTTATTTTTAACACCAATACTACATAACAATCCTGCAAGTAATTAAAACAAATTCATGTGATGATAGTAATTAAATACTAATATAGACGGTATTATCAAATATTAACTTTAAAAATAAATATATTATGAATGCTAACCTATAGCATTATTTGTCTTTTTAGCTTTTAATGAACTACTTGTTAGTTGGCATTACTATTGCCAACATGCATTGATATTACATCACCATCATCTACATAAAGCATTGCATATTTTATATTAAGCATATTAAGCAGTGTTGGGGAATAATTTAATATGATTATAATGTTACTACAATGAAACTTATTTTTAAGTTAGGTACCTACGTACTTTTTTGTAGTAACTTCCCAAACATTCAGCATACCGAGCATAAGCCATATAACTAATGTCTAAAATAATTATAAAATATAAGTGTTGAATATAAACTGAAACTTACTCATTACACGTAGTACGGATGGAGAAACTTTTAAATTTTTGCAATTGGAAGGTGTGTTTTCAAATTCATTTTCAAAAAGTTCACAGCCAGATACATTTAGATCATTAACTTCAGAGCCAGATACATTAATATCAGCAACTTCAGAGCCAGATACATTAATATCAGCAACTTTATGAATTTTGACATTTGAAGTACTAACATTTGCTGGTACTGTTATATCTTCTACTGGTAATAACTGTTGACCTGTATTTTATAAAAAAAAATTTACATATCTGGTGTCTACTATCTACTATATGCTTTGTGTTATACCTGGTAGATTCAATGTTGGATAGGCATTAACGTTGAGACGTTTTGTGCCCGGACTCGAACAACTGTCCTCAAAATGATCAGCACAAATTACCTTTTTTTGGTAAATAGATAATGCATCACTTTTATCCAAACCAATGATATCAATCCATTTTAGAAGTCTTTCCAAGTATCTGTTTGGATTTGGAAAACGATGGCATACTAGACCTAATAAAATAAAATCGTAAGACAAAAATGTTCATATATGGTGTATCGTGTATGTAAATGTGCCATGATGTACATTTTTGTTAATTAAATCATGAATAAACATATTATATTCGTATATTACCTTTGGATTTACAACCAATAATGACACATCTTGACATATTTTTATAATATAGAGGTTGTGGCGTTGACATGGTAAATAAGTACAAAACGTACAAATATTAACACGTATTATACTAATATATACCTACTATATATTATACTTGTCTATGATTATATTAAACTTGTCTATAATAATAATTATGAACACAACATTACACAACACAAAACGCAAGTCGGAAACACGCAGTCGGCAGTTAGAAAAATTATTTTCAAGTGTTACGCATGCGCTGTAAGATTGTCTATAAGCGCTCCCGGTGTTTGTATTAAGCATCAGCCGAATGGTACATATCAGGGTATAGGAGTCACACCAGCCTGGTACAGGTACCGCAGCGACCGGTCTGCGCTTTTGACAACCACCACCACGGGCTAAGAGCGCGACATCGCCAACTCTCCCACCTCGCCACTGTGGCAAGCCGGGACGGGAAGGCGAGTCGCGCAGTTCTCTCGACCACCAACGGTTAACGTTATCCAGGACGCACGTATGCCGTAAAATAATCCACGCACCGAAAACTCCGGTTCGACCACGCCGTGCGTTTCTGTTATTTTCTATCTTTATTTCCTGTTGTATTGTTAAATAAACGTCACAAGCGGACACTATTATTCACTTTCGGACGTGATGTCTCTTAATTTCACGATTGTGAATATCCCCCTCACATCATCTCCATACCACACCGAGACGGGCATACCGCAGACACCAGATCACCACCGCCGTAGCCGCGTCAAACTTCCATTTAATTAATATTTGTTGTTTCGAAAATATTTTAAGTTTTATTAAAAACAAAAATTATAATGAATTTAAAATGTCACTAAACGAACTACGTAAATTAATAAAAAAGGAATTACATGATTTGAATAATAATAATAATATGGAGCAAGACTAATTATTTTTCAAACATCGAAAATTTAAATCGAATATAATACTTACAAACTATTATATATTTATATATTATAGTACCTATACAGTGTTGTATAATAATAATAATAATATTGTATATATATATCAACGTTAGGCTGATTATTTTTTTAACATCCGGTAGGGGAGAGTGTTGTACCTTGGCACCATTTTTATAAAAAAAATTCTAGAACCTTTAATTTTGAATATTAAATGTTCATTTTTATTACTCATATAGACAATACACATAAGTATATGGTAATTTTTTTTAAAGGCCTTATATCAATTATTTTTTAAATTAAAATTTATTTTTTAAAAACACAAAAAATGGTCCAAGGTACAATATATATTGTACCTTGGTATTTGGGGTATTGTACCTTGGTTTGCATTGAAATATGCATACTTAATTTCAAAAATAATTTTATATTATGTATTTGATTAGTTATGAATGCCTAGTTATTATTTATTTCAATTATTATAGTTACAAAATATATTTATTATTATTTATAGATACCTACCTATAATATTACACAATAATAAGAAAGGTAAATAAAATAAATAAACTTCAGTCTCATGTTGTCTTTACCCTTTTAATACCTCATTTGCTTCTAGGCATAATAACTGTAGGTACTAATCTACAAGCAATTAAATAATAATTTTTAATGAAATACCAATTTATGAACAATTAATGGATGGTCCAAGGTACAATTTTTTTTTGGTCCAAGGTACATTCGAGTTATATTTTTATTAATTGTTCTTTTGGCCATTTTGTACATTTATATTGTAACAAAGGACCACACCATTCAATTAAATACAATATTTAACATAGATGAACACTTACCTTATTAATTTAAATGAACAAATTAAAATACAAAAAGTTGTGTTTTAAAATTCAAATATTATTTTTTTTGTGATAAGAAAATGATTTGCTGTTTATCAAAAAAATACGCGCATTTTTGCTATCAATTTCTAAATTATTTATTGTAGTAGGACTAATGACGTAAATTTCTTCCATGAGATTTTGTTTTCCCCCAATATTTTATAAAATATTTACATTAGTCCAAGGTACAAGCGGTCCAAGGTACAACACTCTCCCCTACCTATTGAATATCTTATCATAAAATATATGTATACCTAGTTTATATTATGATGTTTTTTTTATCGAATTTATTTAAATAGTGTTTAAATAATCATTATAAATGACCAAGTGTTGTAGCTCAGTGGGTTAACGCGTTTGATTTAAATGCCTTCTTGGTCGGATTGAAACTAGTCGGAGAATGTGTGGCGCCCATATTCACCTACTAATTTCATCAGGCTTTGAAGACGTTTACGGTAGATTGTATACCCACCTATGCAATTTATTGTAAAACTGTCGTTGACGTGCCGAATAAAGCACTTGGGTAACTTCACTGCCCACGAAAGCTTTGCAGATAAAAGAGTTCCGGCCTCCTTTTTTCCTAACGGGTATCTGCAAAGCTGGGAATGATTTTGTAGATTTTTTGCATTTTTTTCCGTTTTTTCTATCAAAATTATTAAAAATATTACGGTCGTATAAGTCCTATATTTCATTTAATATTTGATATTATCAAGTCGGAACAACACAGATATGTTTTATATGCTTATCTACACTACATATTAAAAGTTTACCCCCCGCTTCATATTTTTCATTTAAGTATAACTCCGTTGCTATTTATGTTAGAATCTTCATTTTTACATTAAACATTTTTGATTTTAATTCTTTATATAGTCCCCCTCATAGTATCATAGTGTAAGATCGTTTTCAAAGATTTTTGGATTTTAATGACGCGTGTAAGAATGGGACACGCGTTAAATATTGAACATTTTTTAATAGAACAATTCTATTAAAAAATTAAATCAATAATATTATTATATTCTAAGCATTTTGTGATCTGAATCTGTACGTCCCACCATGTCAAGACAACATATTTTAATATTTCCTAAATCTTGAACAACACGAATATCACGGAGATATTTGAAAAAATAAGTACCGGTTGTATTTATTAAATCATTAGCTATTTTACAAAAAGCCATGTTGGCGATTCTAGTATTTTAGAAGCATAAGGCTTTCCATCGTGTCCATTATCGACAATTTTATTTAGAATTTTATTTAGATTATATTTCATGATTTTAATATTTTTATTAGTAGTATTATAGTATTCATATTTACAGAACTTAACAAAGATTTCATTATTTAATGTTGATTTTTCTATTTCGTTTTGCATTTCATTTTCTTGTAACTTATTAAATTCTTTTATAGTTTTCATTCTTTTATTATAAATATCAATTCCTTTAACTAAGGTATTCAATTTCTTTAAAAATATTTTTTAATACACTATATTTCATTTCGATTTTAAATTATTAATATCATAAGTATTATGAAAAATATTTTGGGGGTTTTTGTATTTAATAAGTTTTGGTGGAGTTAATACTCAGGTGTATTCAATTTCTTTTTAATATATTATTTACATTTCGATTTTTATTTTTAATAGAACAATTCTATTAAAAAATATTATGACTATTATCGCATTTCAAATTTAATTATTAATAATTAAATTTTGCGGAAAATATTTTTAATATTTTTGCATTTCAATAATTTTGTGAAAAATATTTTAATTATTATTGCATTTCGATTTTCTGATCTTTTTGTACATTGTTTTCTTTGTGATCTTTTATTGATATAATATGAGCTGTCCCATATATACTACTTATATACTATATATATATATTAATGTTATGTGGTGGGGGAGGGTTGGTTTTATTTTCGCTCCCCCCTCTTGAACATCATGTATAACCGCCACTGATTACAGCTATATTATGTAAAATAGCTGTTGCTACAATGAGTGCTTGTGTTTTCAACACACGTAATCTAATACCCATAGCTAAAATTGAAAAACGACGTTTCCATACACCAAATATCCTTTCTATGGGATTTCTTGTTCGTATTTGTGACTCGTTAAACAAATTTTCCAAATTTATATTATTTGGATTCCATGGATATAGTCCGCAAGCTCTAAACCCATTTTTTAAAATGTCTAATGTTATGATTTATTTAAAAACATTTTGTAAAATTGGAGCAAAATCTACTTTAGTTACAGCCGTTGAACAATTTTGTTTCCTCAAATACTAACCTTCTTTGAGTGGACGAAAAGCAGCTACGTCGTGTCGGCTGGTTGTAATATCCTATATAGTTGAATTAGCGGACTCGTTCATTTCGCCGCGATTGTTTTGCCACCGATCATTTCACGTACGTCACACCAGCCCAGTCCATATTGAAATATGGTATTCTTTTTTATGTAACCTTTAGTATGTCATTTGTATGTATTTGTATGACCATCCCCACCATTTGTATGCCACTTGAAATCGAGTTATAACAAAAATAGAAGGGGTGGGCTGGTGAGATGTCACCCCAGCCCGCCCACCAACCAAATTCAAAATTTCTCCACACCATTCAATTGTACGCCATTTGTATGGATTTGTATGACATGTTTCAACCCTTAATTTTCAAAACTACCCTTGGGCGGGCTGGCGAGATTCATTTGATATGGAACTTTTAACTGATAATAAAAATATTAAGAGAATAAAAAAATCTAGTTAAAAAGGAAAATTATCTTTATTAGAAAAATCTTAAATAAAGAAAAATAATATAAATAGAATAAAAAAGCAATTTTAATAAAATAAAATTACGTTTCATAAAAAACTAAATCTAATTTGTTTGAAATATCTATTTCAATAAATAAAATCTAATTTAAATAAAATCTTCTATTCGGAAGACAAAAACTTAAATAAATAAACAATTCTTAAAGATATAAAAAAAATTTAAATGGAATAAAATATTCAAGTTAGATTTTTTATTCAAATTACTAACTATGTCGTTCACTAGAAGTGAACAAAATGCCAACAAAATGGCTGAAATACTCTTATCTAAGAGGTGAATGTTTACAAAATATAAATTATGATAAACTGTGATAATTTTATGGCGGGAATCAAAAACTATTAAATAGGTATGTATTACAAATTACAATATCATTATACACTTACTAGTTACAACACGGGCTAAGATGTACTTATACTTATATTTTTAATTTTATAGTATATCTTAATCCTTGACTTAAAATTAAG